CCCCAAAACCCCAAAACCCCATAGCTCCTAATTTTTGATTATACAAGATAGATAAATTATATATTAAAAGTTCTATTAATTAGATGATTAAACTTATAGACTTATAATCTATACATAAAAATAGTTATTAAATAATGTAAATCTAAGAAAATACATTTCAAAGAGCTTATCTTTAAGATTCAATCAACTTAAGATTAAGAAGCTTCAAAATATAAACATTCGTATAGTTGTAACTTTACTTTTAATTTAGCAATTTATATATAATAGTGTACTCTTGTTTTTCCAATTCTCCTGTGTCAAAACATAAGAGTGCTTCAAAAGTTATTAAACCGGTAACAATGCCCACTTAAATTTTATACTTGGAAATGCTATGACTGATTATGCAGAAATCACAGCTTTTGATATAGTTGGTAATGTAATGATAGTTTCTTTCCAAGACAGACTTAAAGGCTCTATAGGTGAAGATGAAGTACATATCATGTCTTATGATCTTTCTCAGAAAAAGACGTTGTGGTTATTTAATAAGAAAGATGATAAGAATATCACGTTATCAGTTAAGATTAGATAGTAAGAAAGTTTAATTATAACACTAGCCCTCAATAAAAAGATACTTTACATAGATTTATTATCAGGCTATTTGAGAGCTGAATTTGACATTTATTACAAATCTTCTGAACCATTTTTAATTGTGTATGATATTTATGGTAAAGCATATATTGGTTTAAATGGCCAGGAAAATTTATAATCGTTTTTAAACATTATTGATTTTTAATTCTCTTAGCTTCAGATCTAAGAGACTTTGGTGCAAAATTTGAGAGGTTATTTTGGCAACTACCTACAGAGTATCTGTATAAGTGATGATGATAATCATGTGTATATGAGTATTCACACAAGCATTACAGTATTTAGTTAAGTATAAACTTATCGAATTGGAATAGTTAGAATAAGCACAATAGATTCTTCAAATCATAAAATTTATTATCAATCAGCTTTTACCCCAGGGGAAAATTAAAGTCCCATAATATTATTGTACTCTTTGAGTGCTGGTTCTGATTATTGTGTTGGTTTAATGGCGCATGAACAATTTTCTAGCGGAGGAATTATTGGTCTTTCAGTTTTAAATATTACGACAGGTAATTTTACACTTCATTATTAGACATCCTTTGAATACATTTATATCAAACTATTCTCATCTATTGTAACAAAGAACTCAACTGCAAGATTCTTTGTTAAAGTGTAACCAACTACTGATGCTATATTCTTTCAATATATTGTAACTGTAGAAGATATCAAAAGCCCAGATAAAATGATATTCTGAGTATTGCAAGATTATCCATATAAAAACACATAGTTCTTTTCAGGGCTTAATAAAACAAACAAGCGATATTATATGCATGGGCTTGTCTATTAAGAAGCTGGCTTATATCCTTAGGCATTTATCAATGAGTATTAAGATGATCCTTTTTGTAATTATTAGCAACCAGTTGGCTAAAGTTAAAACATTAGCCTTGATAAGTATTTAAATTTAGATCTTAAAACAGAAAGCAATGATTACTATAAACTTAATATAGTTCATCTCGATTAGGTGAATTCATCAATAACTCTATCCTTTTAGAAATCTAACTTTGAAAGTGTTTATAACAACAAAAAACCATGCTAACTCAAACAATAAAGTGACGGAATAGGCTTATTTATTTAAACACCACCATCTATAAAATAACCAGTGATTTGTTTTACAGGCATAAATTGTTCGACATTTATTGGATAATATTAACTTAAAATGCAATGCAGCAATTTAGACACCAATTTATATATGAATTTATTTAACTAAGCGAAGAATATTTTGTGGTTTTATGAGTATAAGTATTACTTAGTCTAAAGCTAAAACACTGTTCTCAACATTACCTTCGATGAATCGTATTAGCATGAATAATTGAAGAATGGTACAAATCACACTTTCTAAAACATTGTGTCGTTAAAATCTTAAAGTGACTTGATTATCAGTACTAGCCTCAATATAAATTTACAAGTTTTCTATCCTTGTGAAATAGCGAATGTAACTAACAGCACTGTTCAGAATATATACCTATAAAGAAATAAAGGATTCGTAGAAGCTTAGATATATTTATTCTAGTTCAAATATGATAATAATTGCTTCGACTACGAAATAATAAGTGTCCATTAAGATGGAAAATAAGTTTAAGAAATTGAATAAACAGAATTTAAATTATGGGCTAAGATACAAAATCCAAGGAAAAATATGATATCTATAGATACATCTCAAAAACTGCCAGGCCTCAGATACATAATAAAAATAAGAGTTAGTAACAATGACAGAAGATCTCAAAAAGTATTATCATCAGCAGAGTAATATCTTAATCTCTTTTTCGATCCAAGCAGAGAAATCGATGCCCCACCTTATTTTGTACAGTTTATTCCAAAAGTTATTACAGCTCCTGGAGAAGTAACATCTTTCAGTCTTTCATCTATAAGAGATAACTTATTTGACGACTACATACTAATAGTAGACTTTGGTGTATCTGCTCTGTTTGCTAGTCTCAAAGATGGTGAAATTAAAATAGCACCTTAGGAAGAGAATAGTGGTCAAACATATAGGGTTAAATTTACTCTAAAGTAGCATTTGAAGAAGCCGTATATTTAGAATATATACTTTCTAGAAATTGCAGTTAAAGGTGCTTTACGAGAGAATAATTTAACTGAAAATTAAACTGGAAAATTAATTTCAACTACCAATTTTGCCAAAATTGTAAACATTAATGCTACAGGTTTTGTAACAATAAAATTTAGTTATCCGTTAAACAAGCCCAAAGATTTATCTGCAATTAACAATAATAGAATAAGAATAGAATTGCACTATGAGGTTCAGGGAATTAATGAACTTATTGATTACAGTCTGCTTGATGTTAGCAGAGATAAAATGCTCATTAGACTATATTTCAAGAATATATCAGACATTTCAAAATTTTAGGTAAGATTCAAATTATTTGATAAACCTTAATTAAATTTAGGATTAAGATACTTTATCAGTGAAATTCATGGATATGGCTTTGTTTTACAATAGATAGACTAATAGATTTACACCAAATTATATAATGACTAAAGGAGTTCCTAGCCAAATATCTGAGGGTAAATATATCAATTCAATAAAAATATTAAGATCTTGCTATGTTACTTTCTCAATATGGTTATGGCTTCAAGATAACTTCAAATACTATTTTTGGAGCAAATCTCATTGCAACTCTTTTAATGTAAAAATAATTCATATTACATACTTCTTAATATAGCTCTCATACTTTACAACATCTTTGGAGCGCAATAAACTCTTTTTAAATTCTATCTCATTTGCCGATGATTGGGATTAATGCTCCAGCAAACGTTTAAATATTTTTCTCGTATGTCCTGAATCTAGCCACCTTCAATATATTTCCAACAGATGAGTATTACAAGCAATTTCTATAAATTACAGAGGAGAATGATTATCCAATTAATGATTATTTTTCTTGTTATGGATATCAGTCAATGAACATAATAATAAACCTTGGAACAATATCCATCTTCATTGCAATCAATGTTTCTTTAATAATTGCTGTGCTTCTCTTAAAGATGGTTTAAAAAGTGAATGCCAAGTAATATTTCTTCATAAAATTAATCAAGTTTTAGGTTATAAAGATTTTAAAAATGGGTTGTAAATAAACTATATATGAACTATTACATAAGATTCTTTATCGAGACCTATTTAGAGCTATCATTATGTGCTCTGATTAATTTTCAATTAGTAATTTCAATCAAATTTTATACAAAATTTAGGACTAAAAATTCTCGACATCATTTGGATAAAGAATTGGTATGGTGTTATCAACCCTTACTTTGATAATTATTTTCCTCTTTCCTATGTTAATATTACTGCTTATGGTAACTAATCATAATCTTCTAGAAAACCCAGAGAACATTAAAAAATATGGTTCTCTTTATGAATTGTACAGACCTTAAAGGCTTTCAAGTACACTTTTCGTGTTTAATTTCATATTGAGGCGTTTCTTATTCACTGTAGTATTAGTGATGCTAAGATAATATCCTTCTTTTCAGATCTTTATTCTTATGTTAAGTTCGCTTTTTACTATTTGCTATTTACTGAACTATATGCCATTTAAAACTAAACTAGATAATTTTATTGAGATTATGAATGAAATATCTATTTTATTGAGCTTCTATGTGCTCATGTGTTACACCGACTTGTTGAATGGTTCTTCTTAAACTAAGTTAAATTTAGGTTGGATTCTGGTTTATTTAACTTGTGGGAGTTTTGGTATAAATATGCTCATTATAATCATTATAACTATCAAGACTTAGATGTATTTTCTCAATCTTTGGCTAAATAAAATTAAGCGGAAAATTAAATCAAAGATTTAAATCTTCTAAATGATAGGGATAATACCAAAAAAATCTTATGAAAATAGCTTACGCGATAACTCAAATATTGTAAATTTTAACTAAAACTATAAAAATTAGAGTTGTAAATCTTTGAATGATTCAGGCATATTTATAAACTCAGATTTTGACAATTCACTTAGATCTTCAAGTAATTACTTCTCAAACTATAAGGGACTAAATTCATTAAAAAGTAGATACGATCTTGAGCATGAGGTAACAGCTTATAGTAATGAGAATTTCAATTAAGATATAAAACCAAACGAGATCCCAGGAAATTCTAAGCTGAGTAAATTAAGATTTGAGATTAATGAGACATATAATGAAGATGTTGATATTAGAAATCATTCAAAAGAAGTGAAAATTAAGAATATCAAACTTAAATAAAGACTTGCTTATAACTTTTGAATAAAGTAGCTTTTTTTACTGAAAATTTATTTTTAAATTCATTGATTTTTAATGACAATTTGTGAAGTGCTTCTTGGGGTTTTGGTGTTTTGGGGTTTTGGGGTTTTGGGG